CCCCCCGCCCCCTGCCCTTCAGGAGTCTCTATCCCCCCAGCCCTAACCACACTTCTCCCCTGATAGTCCCTCCTCAAGGTTCCCCATCACCCAAGTCCAGCAACAAACCATCCCTTCCACTGAACTCCTTTACTCGTTCAGCAAACACCCCAGAGTCCCCTCTGTGCCTGCCCTACCCAGCCCCCATGGAGCCTCCAGGTCAGAAGAGACAGCTGGACACAGTCGGCACCCCAGCCCTATGGTCAGAAGGAAGTACAGGCCTTTCGGGGTGTGGCGGAAGCACACCAAGGAAGGCTACAGGGAGGTGATTGATAGCTGGGGTTTGAGAGATGAATGCAAGTTTTCCAGGGGGGCTAAGTGGCAGGGAAGCCTTGCAGGCAGGTGAGAAGGTTTGGTGGGGCTTAACCTGCACAAGCCTCCACAAGTTGACTCTGCACAGCTGAGGAGCCAGCATATGGGACTGGGGCCCAGAGAGGGCAAGCAACTTGCCCACTGTCACACAGCAAATAAGTGGCTCCAACAAACTCTGTACTCTGAGCGTCCTCACTGTCACCATGATGTTCCCTCTGCCAAGAATGCCTTTCCCTCCCTCCGCTGCTGAAAAGCTCCTGTCAGGCTTTTCAGAGTCATCAGTGTGTAACCCTCTGGTCAAGAGAGAAAGGCCCCAGTGTACAGGTGGGGGAAAAGCCCTGGGGTACAGTTAGGGTGGACTGGGACCCCAGCGTCTCCTGGCCCTTGACATAGTCCCAGTCACACTTGCTCTCCCAAAAAGTGAGTTTCCAACCAGAGCAGCTGCGCTTGTCCTTGGCTTCCTCCGGTGAGAGCAGGATGGGCGAACAGAAGCCTGAGATCATATATTGAGAGCTACACAAAGTCCCTGCTGGAAATTAGACGGCAAGACATCCTTTGAGAAGATGAGGAAATGGGAGGAGCTTAAATGTGGCCCCTCCCCTCTGGGAGCAGGGCTCAGCGGCCCCATAGAGCCATCTGTCTTGAATTTTTACAAGTTCCAAAGGCCACGAAGCTGCCGAAGCTGCCGTTGCTCGGGGGATGCCCCCACATGCAATGTCATTAGACTCTAAGCCGGTGGCCTAGAGAGGAGCAGCGTCCTGCCCAAACTCGCGAGGCCAGTCCATTGAGACAAGGACCCAGAGGTGCGGGAGTTATAAATACGACAGTGAGTGAGGGTCTCCCGCCGGACAAGCAGGGAAGATGCGCGCTACCCCCGACTTCCACTCCACAGCGCCTCCAGCTGGGGGCCCAGGGTGCTGAAGGATGGTCGGTCTTGTGGGCTAGGAGCCCAGCACAGCTTCATGAGCTCATGAACCTGGGGGTGGGGTGGGGGAGGGGAAGACAACAGAGTCACATGGGAGTGGTAGGAAGGACATGACTCTTGTTCTAAAATATACTTAGACTCCATCCCTCCCCTGCTCCAAAGCCTCCCATGGCTCCCTACGGGTCTTAGAACAAAACCTCACCCTTCCTCTGCCTCCTTCCCTCCATTACCTCCTTCCTTCTTCCATCAGCCACATCATTACTTAAATGCACCAAGCTCATTCCTACCTCAGGGCCTTTACAGCTGCCGTATCCTCCACCGAGAAAGCCCTCTGCCAGCTCTCCCCATGGATGGGCTCCTCCTCTAGGTATCACCTCCTCTAAGAGGTCCTCCCTGACTACCCCTCCCTGATCACCTCCCCTGTTCATCTCCTTCCCACCAGAATGGTTTTCTTTTTTAAAAATATTTGTATTGATTTTTAGATTGAGAGGAAGGGAGAGGGAGAAACATCATTTGGCTGCCTCCTGCACGCTCCCTACTAGGGATCAAGCCTGCAGCCTGGGCATGTGCCCTGACCCCGGAATTGAAGCAGCAACCTTTCTATGCACAGGATCTTGCCCAACTAATTGAGCCACACAGGCCAGGGAGCCACCAGAATGTTTTTGTTAGTTTCTGCTGGTTCCTGGGAGGACCCTGCTGAGTCCCCAGCATCCGCACACAGTCGTAGCTCCATATTTGTGGCCCAAACCAATTAATTTATGAATGACCAACTGCATGGCAGAAACTCTCACAAAAGTTGTGATGATAGCCCTGGCTGGTGTTGCTCAATGGTTAGAGTGTTGACCCATACACCAAAAGGTCGTGGGATCAATTCCTGGTCCAGGGAGTGTACCTGGATTGCAGGTTTGATTCCTGCCCCACTGGGGTGCAAGCATGGGAGGCATCAATTGATGTCTCTCTCTCTCTTTCTCTTTCCCCCTCCCTCCCTTCCTTCCACTCTCTCTAAAAATCAATGGAAAACATTTCCTCTGGTGAGGACTAACAACAACAACAACAAAGTTGTGATGGTAAACATAAGAGTCCCTACGATTTTATTGAGAGCCCCCTGTGTGCTGGGCCTTCCCCTCCCGTCAGCCACTGTTATTTCCATTTTGGATTTGGGCAAACTGTGGCTCTGAAAATCTCAGCCTCACGCCCCAGCAGCTCGCAACCAAGAGACAACGTGGTGGAGAGACTCAGAGGGGCCAGCCGGCTTGCCAAGACCCTAGTGTGGGAAACCGAGTCAGTTCTTGCAAACACTCACCTCACCAGGGCAGGCTGGAGGTGCAGGCAGCCTCTGGCCCTCGGCCAGCAGGTCCAGGAGGCGGCAGAGAGCAGGCACATCTCGCTCACATCCCATCATCCGCAGGAACTCCTGGGGCCAGAGGGAACCCAGGTGATGGCGGGGAAGAGGGGAGCAGGTGGCTAGGGGGTAAGCCATCCTGAATGGAGGAAGGGCTCACTGCTGGTGGGGGTCGGGAGGGGTCCTCTGTGATGCAGGGGGCTGCCCGAGGGGAGGCGGTCAGCCATAGCGAGGCGGTGGGAGAAGGAGGGTGCTAGGGGCTCAGGGCGCTGACTCACAGCGGAGGGGCTGCAGCTCTTGTCGCTGTAGGTGAACAGCTCGTACAGAACAACCCCAAAGCTCCAGACATCTGACTGGCGCGAGAAGATGTTGTCCGAGAGGGACTCCGGGGCGTACCTGGAGGAGACAGGGCGGCCTTGGGGTGCGAGCAGGGGCGGAGGACAGGAGCGGAGCAGCACTGGGCTCGGGCAGCTGTCCAGGGCAGGTGGGCTAAAGGAGGGTCAGACTCCAGCTCCAGGGTCTCAGTTCCCCTGACTGTGGGATGGAGCTGAGTCTGTGGCCAGCCAGGCGGGACCTGGGGGCGGGGGTGGGGTGGGGTGTCAACTCTGTGGCCTGTAGTTGTGGGAACGGGAGGGGCCAGTGAGGAGGGGGCCGGGGGGAGGGGGGAGCCAGGACTGTAAGGAGAAGGGACCGGATCAGAACAGTGGGAGGAAGGGAGGGGCCCGGATGGTGGAGAGGAGAAGCAGGGACCAGGGCGGGGCTCAGGGTGCAGCTGCAGCTGTGGGCGGGGCCAGCACCCTGGGAGGAGGGGCGTAGCCAGGGAGGGAAAGGCCTGTGGGGAAGAGGGGCGCGTTGAAGCGGGGTTTCCCACCAGAAGATGGGGCTTTGGCCCGGTTCCCGGACAACGTAATAGTCTTTGTCCAGCGGTAGCAGCTTGGCAAGGCCGAAGTCAGCGATCTTGACGTGCGTCTCACTCTCCACCAGGATGTTCCGCGCTGCCAGGTCGCGGTGCACACAGCGGCGGGAGCCCAGGTACTCCATGCCCTGCAGGCGGACATGGGGTCCGGACCCCAGGATGACTCAGCAGGGGCCTGAACCCGACCTGGATCCAGATCCCAAGCCTAACCCCACTGCCCCATCCTACACTCCAGTCCTGACCTTAGCCCGAACTCAACCCCACCTCCAACCAGACCTGGACCCCGAACATAAACCTTCAGCTTTCCCCAGACTCCACTCAGACTCCCCCCCCAGGCTAGCCAGCTCGGCCGCAGGTCCAGGGGCTTC